TTCAATGACCTGTACTTCTACGATGCCACCAGGAACCGCTGGTTTGAAGGACAGCTGAAGGTAGGTGGGCACAGTACCATGTCAGTGTCCGCACAGAGCACAGCTTGGGTCTGTTCTCCACACTCCCTCTCATGTCCCCATTTCTTTCTCGCTAGTGAGATAACTGGGCCTCTGAGGCCCCCATGTGCTTTGGGAGGGGTGTTCTTCCTTCTGCCTGTTGAGGTGACAGCTTGTGGCCCTCGTCTGGAGCCCCTCAGCCCATCCTGGTACCGGCCGGTCAAGACCTAGACCCTCTGGCTGGTGTTGGCTCTCCTGCTGCCAGTGACGCTCGTTAGACTTCGGGCCATCTGTTGAGCAAGGCTGTGTCATAGCTGTCTCAAGTGCCTCTGGCCTGTGCTTGTCCCTAGTTTCCCATCTGGACCTGCCCAGCACAGGCAGAACCATGGGTAACTTGTAGAAGCAGACCCCAGTCAGCTGGCTCTGGAGCTGTCCTTGGAGGCCTGCTGCAGGCTGTCTGTTGGGAGGGCCAGGATGGCAGAGGCTGTGTGCTGTCTTGCCCTCGGCTCTCCAGAGCACTGAGCCAGAGGAAGGGCTAGTAGTGCTGTTCCCAGAGGGCGGGGCGCCCTGAAAGCTTGCTTGCTTTGTCCATGTGCCGCAGGCATGGAGGTCTTGTATCTGGAGCGTGGGTCTGACGTGGGTAGGCCCGGAGGTAGTGTCTGTTGGGACATTTCAATGTAAATGGCCAATGTCCTCTTGTGAGAATGATGCTCTGAGAGAAAACGACAGAGGCAGCAGAAGGGTCCAGGCTTAGCGGTACTGTGGCTGGGGAGATGGGAGTTGGATGTCCAGTGGCCTGAGAAGGAGCCTGGTGGGAGAGCTCCTAGGCTGCACGGGGGCTGAGGCCCACTGCAGGGGCTGTGGTGGATCCGCTGCTCTGGAGGACCACGTGACCCACTCTGTCCTTGGTAGCAGGCAGGGTCAGGTGTCACTGGCTTCTGCAACCTTTTGCGGAGACTGGGATTCCCAGGAACTGAGCAACCAGCATGCAGCCTGGCACGCACTGGGCCTTGTCTGCTGCGTGTCCCCCTGTGGGAAGATGTGGGGCTCCTCAGCCCAGCTCTGAGGAGACCAGGCTGCAGGAACACCTGCTCCTATCCCCATACCCCCTGGTTGCCGTCTGGGACAATGCCGGCCCCTGCCCTGCTCTTCACCTTGGGCTCTGCGCCCTTGTTCTTTCGACAGGGCCCCAAGTCAGAGAAGAAGAAAAGGAGGCGTGACAAGGTGGAGGAGCACACAGGTGCCGACAGGCAGGAGCTCGGGCCCGCCAGCGCCTCAGAGCCCCTGGAGGTGGTCACAGAGGTGGTGGCTGAGGATGGCACCGTGGTTACCATTAAACAAGTGCTCAGGACCCCAGGCCTGGTGCAGCAGCCCCCATCTGAGGACGAGGACAGTGCCATGGATCCCAGCAGCCCCAGGGTCCAGCCGTGTCCGCGTTCCAGCTCCATGCTGGCTGTCAAGCACGGGCTGCTCTTCGTCTATGGGGGGATGTTTGAAGCTGGTGACCGCCAGGTGACTCTCAACGACCTGTACTGCCTTGACCTTCACAGGATGGAGGAGTGGAAGACCTTGGTGGAGATGGACCCGAGTAAGCCAGTGGGGCTTGCATATGTCCGTGTGTGTCTTGTCACCCAAATCACTCCTCAGCTGTGCCAGGGAGCCTTACAGGGGTTTGTGCCCACCTCTGGGCCACTTTCCTAAGACCAGGACCTGGGAAGGGTCCTGTGATGGCTCAGGATATAGGCCCTGGCTAGCACCTAGAGCACGTGTGATGTGCCTGCTGAGCACAGAGCAGCCTGGCTCACCCCTCCTCAGCCCCTGGTGTTGAGCCTGTGGCCAGCCTGGCTTCTTTCTTTTTAATTAATTAATTAGTTTGTTGGTTTATGAGACTGTCTCGCTGTGTATTCCAGGGTGGCCTCAAACTCAAGGTGATCCTCCTGTCTCAGCTCCCAAGTGCTGGGGTGGCAGGCATGTGTCACCACGCCCAGTTCCTCCTCTCACCCAAGCTCTGCCTCTGCTCTTTGAGCTCTCACATCGCCAGTTTACCCCATACTATTGATGGACCCAAGCTGTTACTGATTTTTTTAAAGACTCAAAGCACAACACGTATGGTTAGGAAAAGCCTTGAAACCTTACATGTCTTCTGAGCACCACAGCTGAGGACTAAGGCTGAAGCAGGCTCAGAAGGAAGGGCCTCCACTGTGCTGCCCGCCCAGCTCTCACCCATTTCAGCTCTGGTTCTTGGCCCAGTCTGTTTTCTTACCTCTCCCAGGTGTGGGGCAGGGAAGATAGGGCTCATGTCCCAGGGTCTGCGTGGGAAGGCAGGAGCCTCTGTTGGTGGATTCCTGTCCCCTAGGCCACCATGGTAATCTCTGTTCCTTTTACCTTTGAAGAGACCCAGGAGTGGCTGGAGGAGACGGACTCAGAGGAGGACAGCAGCTCAGCCGAGGGTGCAGAGGGGGGAGATGGGGACCAGGACGAGGACAGTGAGGAGGAGAGTGATGAAGAGCGAGGTGAGCTTTGCACCACAGCTTGACTTTGTGTTGAGTGTTGAGTCCTAAGTGGATGGCAGTTGCTTGTGCCGTTTATGCGGCTTGCTGTTGATGGCAGCAGTGTGCACCCTCTCCAGGGACCTGTGATTCGCTGTTTTCTCTGTGTTGCCCTCTGTGCTGAGTGTCTCTCTTTTATTGCCCTTTTCTGGACAAGAAGAGCCACAACACCCAGAGGTGGCACCCGGGGAGCAGTACATGGACTACCTGGCCAGGACGGAGCAGCACTGGCTGAAGCTTGCTCGTGATGACTTGGGGCCCGATACCAAAGAGAAGACAGTGCTAAAGGCGGCCCAGGCCGTGGCAAAGACTTTCTTTAATGACTCAGCTCAGGGCACTGCTGAGGCCAGCGGTGAGATGGATGGTCCATGAATTCCCTTGGCGCTGGTGGGTGTGAGCCAGGTGCCACAGAGGTCACTTTCTTAGCCTGGCAAGGCCCCAGCCCTGCTCCTGAGGCTCCGCCCACTGTCAAGGAGCAGCCCCACCCATCCATGTTGCTGGGGCCTTAGGGTGAGACCGTGTGGAGGGACCCACAAGAAGTCTGTTTTCTAATAAAACAACTCTGTGTGCTTTGTGGGGCCTTTCCTTCTACAGAACAAGGAGATGAGTGTTCTGACAAGCCATGGGTCATCAAATGGGACCATTTCTGTGATGCCCGGCTGTTACGGAAGTAGCCAGAGCCAGTCCTGGTGGCGCAGGCCTGTAATCCCAGTACTTGGGAGGCTGAGGCAGGAAGAGTGCTCTGAGTTCGAGACAAGCCTGGGCTCCAAAGTGAGCTCAAGGCTAGTGTGAGCTACATAGCAAGACTCTAAAAAAGGCCACAAAGAAGAAAAAACAACAAGACACCCAGCTGAGTCTGTTATCTTTGACCTGTGGACCTGTGACCCATTGCTTGGCTTCCTTTGCTCTGTGGGCCTTTTGGCGAAAGGTTTTGGATTCATGTCTGCTTCTTCCCTCCTGGCCTTGGAAGGACTTGCTAGACATTGTTATTTACACAGGGACAGAGGAGCAGAAGCTGAGGAGCTAGGGCTCCTGCCACCCCACTGTCAGTGGCCACCACCTGATCCTGGGGCCAGGGATACACTGTGTGGGAGTCTGGTGCCTAACATGGGGACTGGCACCTACACCAGGTTGATGACAGGAGGTTAGCCTGTGCTTTACATAGTTGGGAACAGAAGTTGGGCTTTCAGTTCATACTAGTGCAGGTTCCCTTTCTTAATGCTTTTTTTCTTTCTTTTCTTTTTTTTTTTTTTTTTTCCTTTTCTTTTTGTCCTTATGAGACAGGGTTTTCCTGTGCAGCCAAGCTGGCCTCCAACTCTCAGCAGTCCTCCTAGCTCAGCCTCCTGAGTGCTGGGGTTCCAGGTGTGTGCCACCACGCGCAGCTCCTCTGATGAGCCTAAGCAGTGAGAATGTAGCGTGCATGCCTCTCTGTCTCAGTGTGTCACCACTGTGACTCCTGTTCACTCCAGAGTTGGCCGAAAGGTGGGGATACCTGGCAGAACAGGGCTCAGGCTGTGAAAGCTGGGCTGGGCTGGAAAGAAGGCCGCCGTGACCGGAAGTGTCTCGTGCTTTTGCAGCTTTGCCTGCTCAGGGGCATCAGCCCCAAGAAAATCAGGGCCTTTCAGGGCCGGAGCTCCCGCTGCAGGCTTGGACTAAACAGACGTACGTGCCAAGCTTCTGTGGCTGGGGCTGCTGTGTGCACTTTGGTGGGACCCCTGCCAGCGGCCCACCCTTGCGCTCCGAGGCAGGGGTCCGTCCCCTGGGCCTGGGGCTGTCCACCGCATCTGGGCCTATGTGGGCTGGGCTGGGACACCAGTCTGATCCTCACTCCTCGGTCCTGTCTAGAGGCTGAGGGAAATGGGCACAGCTGACAGCAGTGGGGGTCAGCTTGGCCTATGTGTTGTGCAGGTGCACTGGGGAGCAGGGGCCAGGCTGAGCTGTCTTAGCCAGTGTTTGCACAGGCAGGGCTTTTTCCAGCATTCTGGATGGAACTAGTTGGCATGTCCTTGGCAGGGGGAGGCCTGGTGTCTCAGTTACTTTTTGCTCTTGACGTATAGTGTTCCAACCACTGCATGAGGTATGGCCCTCAGTGCAGAGGGTCGGTAGAACCCACTCCTGCCTGCCCAGCATGCAGAGCTGCTCGTCCAGGGGGTTCTTGCTGTGCACCTGCGCTGCAGGAAATTAGCAGAAGTATCTTCCTTTCAGAGTAGCCTATAGCTAGGCGAGCATTGGCAGGAGGCATTTGGATCAGTTGGAGAAGCAAGGGCAAAGTCCCTGAAGAAACAGCTGGTACAGATGTTTTGCTGTGCTGTTCTGGGGGTGCTACTGAAGTTGCACATAGTGTGAATGGGGCTGCTGAACACTGAAGATCGGTGGACAGCAGCACTGCACCGGCACACTTGCAGCGTGGAGCACTGGGCAGTGTAAGCGTGCCTCCTAGGACAAGGTGGCCCTGAGGGACATTTACATTGTGAGAGGCAAGTTGGCTGCACTGGAAGTGTCAGTTGTCCAGGCAGCGTTTTGCTGCATTCAGGATGAAGCACAGCACCCTGCGTGCCTGCGGGAGTGGCCATTGGTGTGTTGTGTGTACCCTGCTCCCCTCCCCGAGGCTCCAAGACGGGTCATTGAGCCCTTTCGCCTTGCCTGCCCACCACCTGTAGGCTGGGGACGGACATCCAGGTGAGACTCCGACTCACAGGCCCAGCGGCTTGTTAGTGGCCCCGGGTGGCTTGTGCGAGGCTTGCATGGAGCTCCTCCCTGCCTCAGAACACCTGGCCTTGTAGCCTGGACTGTGTTAGGGTGAACTGGACGGGTCTGTTACGGGGGCTGAATTCCTCTGGCTTGGCTGAATTGGACAAAAAGGAGGAGAGCCACTCATTAAGCTTGGAGTTTTGTTTTGGGTTTTTTGAGGTGTGGTAGTTACTCCATGTGAAAGCTGATTCTTTTCACTGAAGTGGTACAGAGGAGGTCCATGAGTGGGTGACAAGTCTTTCTGGGAGTACACTAGAAGGAACCTCTGCCATGGAAACGGAGCCGGCTCATGTCAGAGCTAGGCGACTGGATACAACCCACACTTGGAAACCCCTCCACAGGTGTGTGGCGTGAGGGGACGTGTGCACGTTCATGTCTTTCTGAAGCAGAGGAGCTGTCTGGGGGAAGGCGGTAATCCCTCTCGGGGGGCAGCAGCAGGTTCGGGCTTGTTGGGCTTGGGGCGGCCTTCGGCCTTGGCTTCGGGGGGGTTGGGCTTTCCCGGGCTTGGCGGTTGGGGGGGGGGGGGGTGGTAGCCGGCAGCCTCCTTCTTCAGCTGTTCTGAGGGTGGTGCCGGGGGGGGCCCTGGTGGGCCGCGGAGGCTGCTGTTGTGTTGTTGTGCGGGGGGCGGCCGTGGTGCGGTGGTCGCAGCCCCGGCGGCCGCCGGTCGTGCATCATGTTGTTCCTCACAATCCCCTCGGCTGGGAGCCTCGGGAAGGCTCCGCCTGAGGGATGGGGCAGTCATCCCAGGAAAAGTGGAAGTAGAAGGCAGAGGGCGTGAGAGTCGTTTTCAAGGTCACACATGAGGCCCTCAGTGGCAGAACCTGCCCTGTCCATCCCCGTGTCCTCTGCACAGGTATGTGTGCTGTGGCTGTCACCTGTCCCCTGCCTGACCTGTGAGGCTGGGCACCCTCACCTCACAAGTGCATGCAGAATGTGGTTGGGACAGGCAAGTTAGGTCACCACCTGGTAAGTGAATAACGCAGTACAGTTATACAGACGGAGCTGCCTTCACCAGCTTCCTGCACAGAAAGTCTTCTGGACTTACGGACACGCGCTGCCTGGTGGTGCAGCTCTGTGCCTTCCTGAGGAACTGGCTTTATCCATCCTGTACCCTGGTGTCAGAAGGGACTGCAGGTAGACGCTGGTTTAGAATGAGGTAATACAAGTTCTTTTGTAGTTTCAAAGGACATTTATTACTAAAAAGGAGCAGACTGTCTTTAATCTCAACAGTGTCCCTCGCTTTTGGATGGTGATACACATAGCAGTGATATTTATCTGAACAGTTACATTCATCAGAGAAGGCTACTTTGTTTCCAGTTTGCAATTAAGCCGTTTCCAGCTGAAACAAGACAAGGCAGAGTAACTTTAGCCACTTTGTCCATAGGAACAGTCAGTATGTAGCTGGCATTTGCTTCACAATCACACTGCATTTGCAAATGGTCTACATGCGCCAAGGGAAATCACTGAGAGGAGATGCAGGTGAAAGCTGTTAGGTCAGAATTCGCTAAGAGGTGTCTAGGCCAGTGTCCATGGTTTCACGCCCTGGGAGGTTTCCCTCAGGCTGCAGGGTGTCATTTCTTTGGAAACCATGAGTGGTGCAGATGGACAGAGTCTAGCTAAAGCAGTTAGGATCCACTTGGTAGAAGGGAGGAGGAGGAGGAACGAACCAGGGTTGGGTCCACCAGCCCATGGACACCCAACAGCACTAGGCCCTCATGCCACTCATGGGCCGTGGACCAGAGGCTCCAGAGGCCAGAGCTCACCTGACCACATCCAGGTGGCTGGGGCTCCTGGACACTCAGCCTCAGGCCGGAGGGAGGGATATGTTCTGCACTGTTGCGTTGTGCCTGTACGCCCTGTCTCCCTCTAGTCTGAGGAGCCACCCTGGGCATGGCGCTCAGTCCACCCTGCTGACCAGGGTCTGCCTTGTGAACCTAGGGTGGGGGTGGGAGTTTTTTGCTGAAGGTGAGCTGTCTCCCATTTGAAAATTATGATGTTGAAAGCAAGGTATAATCCCAGCACTTGGGAGGCTGAGGCTGGAGAATCACTTGAGTTCGAGCAGCTTGAGTCACAAAGTGAGTTCAAGACCAGCCTGAACTGCATTGTAAGACCCTGCTTGTCTTATTAAAAAAAAAAAAAAAAGAAAGAAAAAAGACAATGAGAAAAGGAAGTAAACCCTGGGTATGAGCTTGCTGGTGGGTGAGATGCATGCAGCACCATGGACAACGCCTGTCTGCACAGGACCCTACATAGAAAGCTGAGTAGTTTCAGGTGGCAGGGCAGTCTCACAGCCAGCCTGGGGGGTGGCAAGGACAGACATGCACTGGCTGCTGTGAGAAGCAGCTCAGATGCTGGCCTGACTGTCACACTGGGCAGTCACCAGGACAGATGGAGTGCTATGTCCCAACAGCAGGACACCACCGCAGCCACTAGGGGCCAAGGAAGCGTCCCAAGGCTGGCTGGCTGTAGCTGTCATCAAGCAGGGGAGGCAGAGCTAGACACCAGTGCCCCACACGGCTCAGATGAGGAGCCTGTAGTTGGGGCGTGGACATGCACATGGAGGACACAGCAGCTTGGCACTCAACCAAGTGAGAGGGGAGTTTGTACCTTGAACAGTGGATGGGGTGTGGATAGGGGCCAGGATGAGGTAGGTATACGAGGTTGCTGCCTGCTGTTGTGTGTGCTCTGCTGTTCCCCAAACTGTGCCCTGCCCCCGAGTCCCCACTGAACTCCCTGCTTCTCTGAGAATAGGAACAAACTGTTGCCCTACCTGTATCTCAGGTCCTTCCAATTCTGGATTTCATACAGCAAAGAACTCCAAAGCCAGCGTTTGCGCTAGCACGTGGGCTGAAGTTTGGAGACTGCTATCCTCCGAGGTGCTCTCACTCATGGGGTTCCTGTTCTGGCAAACACTGGCGACCACATAGGTTTCCTGCCTGCATCGGTTCAGGTGCCAGCACCCTGCTGCTCCACCACCAGGGGCTCAGGGCCTGCAGGCCTGCTTTTCCTGCTTCACACCCTGTTTTGTTCCTGAGTTTGCACCCTCGGCGTAGGGCCACACTGGGGAGATGCAGCTTAGCTCTTTTTATTTTAACAAAGGCAACTGTACTTTTTCTTGCTTCTTTTAAGGCTGAGTTAGCAACGCTTCTTGGCACTTGGGGACAGATTATTTTCTCAGTCTGTGCTGACTGCCTGCATTGCCCATGGCAGCTAGGCCTGGACCAGAGAACAGAGCTAAGCAGACCCCTGAGCTGATAGCCAGAGCCCCGCCTTGCTGCCTCCGCCAGAACTCGCTGTCCTGCTATTCTGCAGGAGGGGATCTTGGCCCAGATGAGAGTAGAAATCCTGTATAAAAACCACTGTTGCCGTGTGTATTGCAGATCATGGAATGCAGTCTTTTGTCAGCTGTCCCTGTCAGTTGATTGTGGGAAAAATCAGGAGTCATGTGGCTGTGGAACCAGATGTTTTTAATTCTAGTAGGCACCTTTATGCTGAGTTTATAAGACCAACGGCAAGAAAAGTTGGAAGACAAGACCTATGGAGAGTTAATGAAACTGAGCTTAATGTAGAAGAGAAAGCAGCCCCTTCAGCCAGTGATTCAAGCAGTGTCCAGGGCACACGGGAATGAACGAGCAGCCATTGCAGCGAGGCTGCGGAGCAGTCAGAGGCCTGGCCCTGTGACCCAGTACAGCTCCCATTAGGTCGCAGCACTGTCAGTGTTTGGGGGGCAGCCTGAGCCTCCAGGCCATGGGTCCAGGCGGGAACAGGCCCTGGTACTGTCTCAAATATTTGGAAGGCTTTAAAGGACAGAAAAAACAAAGTACCAAAAAATGGTTTTGTGGATTCCCCAAGTGTTCATCTACTTGGCATCCTCAGTGCTGTCCATGGGCTTCAGCAGCGACCTTCATTTGCATGTCTGCCAGCCAACAGGAGCACATAGGGTTGGAGCCAGGACACCTGCACCCAGGCGTCACCTCACGGCTCGGGGGCCAGGGTCAGGTGGGGCTGGCTGTGGTCCTGCTCAGTACATCACTGAGGCCCGTGCTGAATGCATGTGAGGAAGAGCCCGTTGTGCTGCTCACGCCGTGCAATCAGGAGAAGCTTCCAAGACTAGGTGGTTTGACCAGGGGAAAGCTGGTCAGACGTCTTGTCTCGGAGCCTCTCCCTCCACTCAGCGGTCAGGGCAGCAGCGGTTGCATCTTGGTAGCCATGCTGAGGTTTTCTGTGTCCTCATCAGTTATTGTGGACTCTGATACATGCCCGATCATATCTTCGAGTCCTATGTGCTAACAAACTTAGAATACAAAAGAATGGGTAAATATTTTCCAGTTGCCTGAAGTTATTCAAGCACTGAATGCACTGACAAGCTCCGGCAGGCACAAGGACACTCAGCTTCAGGGCCTCCTCAGACTTTCGGAAAGGGACAGCCAAGCGGCGGGCACACACCTCCTCTCCCCCCTTTTCACAGCAGGTCTCCATGGCGGGAGAGCTGCCCTGGCAGTGAGATGATCTGCACCCCTCGGGGCCTGGTGGGATCTGGGGACAGGAGCGTTTCTTTCTGTGACCGGTTTTCACATCGGGAGTACAGAAGCAGCTTTTGAGGGCAGAAAGAGATCCTGATGCCCCTGCTTTGGTCTTCAAACTCCTCAGGTGCTCTGCACAGGCACCCATCCCGCCACGTCTATGGCTGGCCGGTCGCACATCGTCAGCGTCTCCAGCCGCAGGGCAGACAGGCTCTGGACACACAGGAGCGCCTGTCGGCTACAGCAGGGTGCCCTGTGTGGAAGTCCGAGGCCGCTTTCCGGGGTGTCCTAGACCTGCAGTGTCTTGGTCTTGAGCAGCTCCACTCCGAATTAATTCACCAGGAGTGTTGAGGAGATGGCTGTGCCCTACGCACATGCTGCACAGGTGGCATTCAGTGATGTCCCCAGCAGCAGACCAGTGCTGTGTTGCTCAGTCACCTTTGAGAGCCAACTGGGCAAGTAGCCACTAGTGCTTCTGCTGAGGGACACGCGTGTCCCTGCACTGTGCTGTGCATGTCTTGTGATGGTACGTGTGTGCCTGCGGCAGAGGGTCCCCTTGTGTGTCCGGCGTTGCCGGGGTGTACAGATGCCTGGAGTCTGTATAGTCTCATGCAGACATACAAAACACATATCCCACATGGACGTTCTTAGCGCTACAAAGAGCAGGAATCTTTATTTGGTTCACTTCAGGTCTGTAGCAACCACTTGTTATTAAAAAAGAGGAACGGAAAGTAAGATGTACAAAAAGATGTAATATCCCTTGAAAAAGCAACGTTATCAGAAATGTACTCAGTTACCTCCTGAGCCTTCCTCGCTCTCTTCTGTCCCCTAAGCCAACCGTGAAGGAACGGAGTGAATGGATAACGGAAAACAATAAAACTGAATGTAACTGGAACATGCTCTAATCTTTAGTTTATTTCTGGTTAAAAATATAGCAATCCAGTGCAGTGTAGTAAAGAAATCTGCTCGAAAGGTAGCAGAGAAACAGCTAAACATAAGCAAAGCAAGGCAGAGTCCATGAGACGGGCTGTACCCAAGAAGACTGACAGGAAGTCACGTCCGGGGCCGCCTCAGGCAGGAGCACAGGGTCCCGCACACAGATGCACCTGGACTGCTCCGGGCACATCTGTGCACATGAGCTGGGGCCGCGGGCCCCATGCACCCCTGGCTGCCTTGTCGGGTGGTGGGGCGACCCTGGGAGAGGAGGCAGAAACAGAAGGGACCTGTTTGTGTCTGACTGCACGTCAGGGAGGTACTGGGTATGCAACAGTTCAGGGAGTTTCAAGCCACTGGGTTTCAGCGACGTTCCTGTCCCAGGACCAGACCCGCTCTGGAGCAGCACTGAGGCATCTGGAGGGATATGCATATCTGTTAGGGGAAGTTGAGGCAGGCACAGTACAAAGACATGAGAACCTGTGGAGGTCAGTAACAGCGAGAAGTGACGTCCCGTGTGGGGCGTCAGTGCCAAGGACACAGAAGCCTGAATATACATCCTGCATACTGAGTGCAAAAATGCCACATGCTCAGAGCCCAGGCTTGTGTCAGGCTGTCCATGGCACAGGGCCCCAGCCCCTCCATGTGCAGATGTGCCCGGCTGGGTTGGGGCAGCCCCTGGATGTCCACAGCACAGCCTCCCTGGGCCTGGGGGAGGGGGCTGGACAGGGCAAACAGTGGGTTAGTGGAGGACAGCGGAGAAATAAGGATTTCGCTTTAAGACTCGTGGGGAGGCGGCTCGCGAGGCCGTGGGGCAGTGCTGAGAGGGGAGGGGTCGGTCTGTTTTAGGGAGAAGAGGCCTGGCCTTCTCCCCCCTGAAGTATGCAGCACAGATTTAAAGTAGAAAAGGCCTGGGCTGTCCCAGTTGCAATGGGACCCGTTTCCTGTGCCTCACACCCAGACGTGTCGCCAGGAAAAGCAGTGGCTCAACCTTCCACGTCAGCCCTTCTGTGGCTGCTCCCTCACCCGGCTAGCTGCGCTTTCCCAAGGCCACTGCCTTCTACACCCCTGACCAGAAGTGTGAGGACAGTGACAACATGGTGACATTTTCTTTTTTGCTGCTGGTCTGCTGGGATCCCTTCTCCCCACATCAAGCTGGAGGGTCGGCGTGCTGGCCTCCTTCTGCCATGCCACACAGCATAGTGTTATACAAGCGAAGAATTTTGGCTAAAATCCAAAAAACATTACCCAGAAAAAAAGGCAAACTGTGAGTAATACCCAATCATGTTGTTCTTCTGTGAAAAGACTTGGAAGTTGTGGGGCTGTCCAAGCTAGGATCTTCCCTTTTGTTGTTTTGTGTTTAACGGTCTTCTGTACACCGTTACTTTCGCAATCGAGACAATCATCTCAGATGAAAAAGTTAATAAACAAAATGGCAACTCCAATGTTGAGCAGGATCACCATGACGACCAGAATGGGAGCTGAGCCCTGGAACAGAAGGGAGAGGAGAGGTGAGGGTGGCCGCCACAGGTCCATCCCGTCTCAACAAGACGGGCTCCGAGGGCCCGGGGCACGAGACAGTCCGTATGGTCTCAGGTGTAGGGTCCTGCTCTGAGCATCAGCCAGCTCCCCAGGGTCTTGGGGTATCAGCACAGTGGCTGAGCTCCAGATACCCTTCTGCCCGGGCCACAGACTGCATCAGTCCTGGCCCAGCTGGTGTGCAGTAGTTGCCTGTAACGCCCCCTCTGGGAGTGCTTCATGTTTTGGGCTCAGCACCCGGGGCCTGCCCCTGCCCTCCACCCCAGATGTGTCCCGGGCCCAGCCAGCCCAAGACTCCCTTCTGCAGTGACTCTGCAGACAGCCCCTGCCTGTGGGCTGCCCATGCTGGGCTGGATGGGAAGAGTCACTCAGAAGTGGACCTCAGGAGAGCCAAGCTCTGGGGACAAATATCAGTGTGGGGGTGGCTGTCCCCGGAGGGATGTGGCCCCAAGAATGGAAGGTGCTCAGGGCCTCAAAACAGGCACTGATCAGGCGTGGCATCCTCTGCAGTGGTGTCCCTCGCCTGCCCACAGCCACGGGCCATCTGGGAAAGATCTCTCCCTGCACCCTGCCAGCTGCAGAGAAGTCACGCGTGTCTGTGCCCAGGCTGGATGCAGAACGTGCCAAGCAGGGACACTGAGCATGCATGGCTTCCCGGAGCAAAGACCCTGCTATTGTGCAGGCCAGGCCTCAACCTTCAGGCACTTCAGAGGCAGCCACTTTCCTGCCACCACATCCCTGTGGTGGTCACATTTTGGAAACAGGAGGGTGCTTCCCCGTCAGAGCAGTAACTGGGAGTGCCTTTCCCACAGGGAGCCCACAGCCAGCTCCTCCCTCTCAGGTGGAAGACGGGCAGCGCGGCTGTTCCCCAGAAGTTCATTCAGAACGACTACAGGACCCAGCTCCCCACTGCTACAGGTGTAACCCCCAGGCCACACCCACCCGAAGCGTGGGCACAACAGCGTGGAAATGAAAACCAGGTGTCCAAAGCGTGGCTGGTCAGGACCCTCATGTCCCCACAGTGGAAGGTCACTCTGCTGTGACAAACAGCAAGGCCCTGGCTTGTGTATCACACATGTGGAAAACAGTGCCAAGTGAGGGAGCCAGATAGGCCACTTACTGTGTGAGCTGGAAGGAGGCCAGCCCATACACAGGACAGAGCGGGTGCCAGGCGGGCTGTGGAGGGACTGCATAGTGTGTGGGGAGGATGTCTCAGAGTGACCGGACGGGCAGGCCACTGAACTGCACCTTCAAACCGCTGAGGTGTGTGTACGAGTTGTCAGTGAAATTGCCAGGAGAGCAGGTGGCCTCCCAGGCGGGGCCTGTCCCAGAGGCCGGGGGCCTCACCAGAACCCCTGGGCCCTGCGAAGTCGTGAGGCGCTCAGCCCCGGTCCTCGGAGGGTGCCGTCTGTGCCCGATGAGAAGCGGCCTGGGATCCTGCCAGCCTGCACATCCCTGTCTCCAGTCTGTGCACTAGCTTGACTGACACCTGCAGTGTCCTCAGGCCCGCCACCAGGCCACCAGCCGAGGATGCTGGGAGCCTGCCAGTGACAGAGGTTTTCTATCTGGGCTCCACAGCCAGTGAGCACCTCTTCAGCTTGGCAAAACCTTCAGAGATGGGCCTCACCTCCAAACCTCTGAGCTCCAGGCCAGGCCTGCCTGCGGCCCCACTGGGCCCCACGCTGCACCTCGCTGGGACTCCTCTGTCTGCTGACTACCGCACGCCTTCCCGAGGGAGGCCCTGCCTGCGGGGGATGCGCCTGCTTGAGACTCTTAAGAACCGTGCTCCGCTAAACTCCAGGCAGCAAAGCACTTTCTAAACTCACCAGGTTGGCTGAGAGGAAGACACATGGCCACCCCAGGCGGCAGAGTGGCACCCTGGGCTTTGCTCGGCAGGAGCAAGTGAGCTGGCCTCGAGACCTCATCCCAGCAAGGCAGAGCTGTGTCTTAACTGGCAGGGCCCTGGGGTGGCAGAGATGCCAGCGCCACGCTGCATGGCACTGGCTGGGCCAGCCCTGAGCAACAGGGAGACCACGAGGCCTGCAGCCTGCTGCCCTCATGCGGGAGGGAGGCGGTTGCTCGCAGTCCTGGGAGCAACAGGACATGTACAGGTCCGCATACAGGCACCCTGGGTGTGCGGATCCTGGGAGCTGAGGGGGGCAGGCATGCCACCACACACACCCAACCAGTGTCACCGGTAACCACCACAGGCGCACAGTACTTCACAGAGAAATGGCCAGCTAAGGGCAGAGCTAGAGAGAGCACCTTGGTCCCCACCTGTGGTGACTGCATTCATGGGCCAGAGCCCCCCCGAGATGAGCAGTGGGGACGGGTTCAGGCTGGGCACTGTGTTGAGGGCCCCTCAGCCTCCCCCACCACAGGCTCCCTGGGTGAGGGAAATGCCCCAGCCAGAGGACACCAGTCAGAGCTGTGACACCTGGCCCTCCCAAAGGCCACACTCCCTGTCCCTGCCATGAACACTGCAGGGGTAAGCCACCTCCAAGGTCCCCAAGGGATAAGTGGCGGCCAGGACCCAGGGCACACTCAGGGGCTCCTTCCAGGTGGACTCTGCAGAAGCCCATGCTGGCCAGGCCCGGGGAGCTTGGATTTGAAGCACCAGGAAGCGCTAGTTTGGTTTAGCAGGCTAAATATAGAGCCGGTCCCGCATTTCCCACCCGCCCATCTCTCCGCAGCTCTTAAAATAGCAGACAGCTGGCTGCCGCCACCAGCCATGTCGCCATGTCGGGGGAAATAGAGTTGTAAGTGTGAGCTGGCATTTCAGTCCCAGGGGAGCACGCAGCTGCCCCGGGTGTGGGGGAGGAGAGCGGCTCAGGAGGCAACCAGGCTTCAGGTGGCAGCAGGGAGGAGCGCACAGGTGCCTAAGAGGCCTCAGCCAGACTCCTGGGGGTGGGACAAAGTGCTGGCACACCAAGACCACCCACAGGAGTGGGACCCCACACAGCTCTGCCAGCTGTGAGCTGGCCCACCTCACCTGGGGACCTTTGGGGTTCCAGATGCGTGGTGAAGCCAAGGCCAGGATAGGCACGAGGGGTCCCGCTGACACTGGCCTCCCTCCCACTCCTCTGCGCGTAGCTGACCTCGACCTTCCAGCCTGCCCCAGAGGGAGGTGCATTTCCTCTAAATCCAAGCCAGTAGGACAGACAGAAGGCCTGAGGAGGTGGAGTCTCACGCGGGTCCTCACTCAGGCCCCGCCTCAGTATCGCCCTACACGGCGCAAGGGTCCTGAGGTCAGAGTGCGGGGCAGAGCCCACATCTCTAGCTCCTAGGAAAGCAGCTGTGTTCCAGGACCACAGAGCCTCCTCTGGAAAGGATGCCCCAGGGCAGAACCTGGTAGCACCCGCTCCCGCTGCTCTGGGCCATCTCTGCCTAGGACAGGGTGTGGCGCCCCACCCAGGACCTGGCAAGAAGGTGCTTGGGAGCCAAAATGCCAGGACATGGCACATGTTTCTCTCAAGTGGGTACACGATCTCCCCACCCAACCTTGTGGGTGGCCCAGCTCCTGACAAAAGCAATACCTGGCCTGAGGGTCCCCAGTGCGCCCCTACCCCAAGAGGAAGCCAGAGTCTTTGACACCCCAGGTTAGAAAGTTCCGGTTCCCCATGGCCCACAGACTGTGCAGGTGGCCACTAACCGTGCTGGACTTGAGCTCGTCCCCCGTCTCTTCATCGGACTCCAGGGCCACAGGCAGGGACTTCTGGGGAGGGGAGAAGGTGAGGTCCCAGCGCAGCAGCCGGGGCGCGGGCTGGTCCCCCAGCCGCAGGCTCCCCAGCTTCTGCACCGTGGGCTCGGCAGAGGCTGGCCTGAGGCTCTCCTTGTTCTGGGCCTTGAGCCGGGGTCTCTGCAGCCCGAAGCCCCTGTCCTCGGGGGCACGCCGCTCACCGCCTGCACCCCGACTGTGGCGCCGCCTCTGGGGGTGTACCTCCTGTGAGCCCGAGTCCATCCTCAGCAGCGGCTTCATCTCCAGCTTGTAGGTGCTGGGCTGCTCCTCGTCTGGCTCGGGCAGCTTGGCACCCCCTGAGCTGGGGTTGCTGGCCCGGTGGTGGCAAGTCCACGAGAAGGCGGTGGGAGACTCCGTCCGCCGCTCCCGGGGTTTGGGGTTCCCGGGCAGCTTGTGGCCCGAGCTCCGGGTGCGGAAGTCCTCAGCTGGGTGGCCACTGCGCAGGGCGCCGCTGCGGACACCCCTGGAGCCGCCAGCCTTCTCCTCGCCCCAGCTGTTGCGGGCATAGTCCCCTCCCCGGCCCTCCACTAGCATCTGGATGTCCCCTCCCCGCTCCTCGTCCATGGAGACCTGCCGGGAGAAGTGGGCCACCTTGTTCCTGGAGGTGGGAGGCGGAGGCGTAGCTGCAGGGCTTGCGGGGAAGCTCTGCAGGGGGCTGTCGTCGGGGGTCAGGTCGGAAGGCGTGGTGCCCTTGCGATACAGCTCCGGGCTCTCCTGCTGCAGGGGGCTCCCGGTGGACAGCACCTCGATGTCGTCGCAGGAAACTTGGTGCTGCGGCCTCTGGTACTCGAGCCCTTGGAGGAGGAGAGAGAGCATAGAGGAGGGTCATCTGGAGCTCACCAGGGGGAAGGGTGGAGGGACCCAGCCACTCTGCCTGGCCAGGATGCTCCAGATGACCCCTGCCCACCACAGGGTAGAGGACAGGGCCCACCTAGGCCCCTGGCCTCACTGGCTGGTGCCAGAGCCTGGGCAGCCAGTGCCCCCCACTTGCTGGGACAGGACCTCTCTGCCTTGGGATGAGCTCAGGCCAGCCACCCCCCCCACCTGTGGGGTTCCCAGAGACCCCATGTATCATTCCAAGGCTTCCAGAAGCAGGGAGCAGACCTGGGCACCTGCAGGCAGGGTTCCCACCCCAAGGTGGCTTTGTCCCAGGTCCCAGGATGCGCATGGGGGTTAGTGGAGCAGGCTGTTACTAGGAGCCCCTTGGGTGCATCCCTTTTAGTAAACAGTCACACGTGTCCTAGCAGAGTTAGGGACACACGCAGCCTGCTCGATCCAAGCAGAAGCCCAGGCTTGCCAACTGTAACCTGTGGGTCACAGAGTTCTGCTTGAGACTGCCACCATGGCCACAGCCAGGACACTGAGAGAAACCTGAGTCTAGCCACACTCCCGCCTTGCACCCAGGGCCTCCTGCCACGCCTGCCTCCCTCTGGCCCACAGTTCGAGCCTCTTTGGTCAGACCCCATGGTTGCCCTGTGGTTGGACACAGCTGTGCCCAGACACCAGGGGCCATGAGCAGGACCCTGAGCTCAGCAGCTTCCCAGGCCTTCCTGGGCGTCCAGCAGACATGCACCCTGATGCGGCAGCCTCCCAGCCAGGCCTACCCTCGGCTATGTGAGTTCCAGGCTACAAGAGGTTCTCCTCACACAGGAGTTTGGTGTGCTTGCACTCCGTCCCACAGCCCCAAGCCTAGGAGCCGGAGGCCGCCCCGGCCCAGCACACCGACCACTCACTCCAGCTTGCAGGCCGGCCTCCACGCTCTTCTCTTCTGCCCGGAGCTTTCTGAGACCTCAGCAAGACTCGCTCCTGTGTGGCCTCGATGGTGCACACAGCAGCTCAAAGGCATACAGGCTAAACCCAGCTCCAGCTCCCCGTGGACCCCGAACCGCATCCTGCCCAACATTCCCTAGTGCATTCTAGATGGAAGCAGCGAGTGCCCAGATGTTGGGAAAACAAGTTCCAGAGCTGACCCAAGACTGCTCCACCACTCACAAGCGTGCATGTGAGCCTGGATGGGAGGCTGAGGTGGGGGCGGAGCTCAGAGGCCATCTCAGGGAGCAAAGGGGAGCAAAGGGGAGCCGGAGGCCCAGCCAGGCAAGATTGGCTCCAGCGGGTCTGGAGGCACAGCGCTGTGATGTGACCGCCAAGCTCCGAGTCTGGGCCCCACTTGGGGGGGATCGAGGCCTGCTGCCCTCCTTACACGCTGAGGCTTGCTCCAGTTGTCCCTGAGCCCACCTGTACCTGTCATGAGGCAGCTTCGGACTCAAGACAGTAGCCCAGGGCCACCCTGCAGGCGCCACAGAGGGCAGGTTCCTAGAACAACAGAGGCCAAAGTCCAGCTATGTAGGAGCTGGCTGCCTCAGGGGCTCAGAGCAGCCTCAGGCCTGGGCCTCTGCAGCTTCGGGACCTGGTGCTCCTGGCTTGTGCTGATGTCACTTAGTCCCTGTCTTGTCCGTGCTGCGCTTGGAGAATACTTGCCATCGGCTTCCAGTCCCTGTGCAGTCCTGTTTGTTTTCCTGTATTTTAGGGAAGGGTCTACAGGGTGTTCAGGGTCTCACTACTAGGTCGGACTTACAGTGATCCGCCTGTTTACAGCCTCCCAAGAGCTGGGATCGTAGGTGCACACCACCATGCCCTGTCTCCCTGTGCAATCCTGAAGATCTCACGTCCAGGTCTTTGGCCCCGATTGCACCCATGGGGCTACTTCTGGTAGTGGGCTGGGGGCTCCTGAGAGGTGGGCAAGGGCCGAGGAGATGGGGACTGGAGTGTTCTGTTCTTCTGACTTTCCCTCCAGGCCTGGCATGGCAGGCTTGGCAAGACCTTGCCCAAGGAAGAGACAGACACAGAAGGGAACAACGGCCCCTTTCTCATCCAGCCTGAGCACCCAGGAGAGGAATGGTGGCCACTGTGGGCGAGGCCAAGCTGACCCCGGAAAGGTAGCTGGGATACTCTATCTTGACCGTGGCATCCTGTCTGGCTGCAGCAGCCAGCTCAGGGCTGCTTATGGGACTGCAGACCCTGCCCCCACTCACCCAACATGGGGTGCACGGGGGGGGGGGGGAATCCTAACCCCGTTTTGTGGGGCCACAGAGCACAGATGAGGCTTCCTACTGAGGCCACAGGGCAGCGTGCGACAGCCCGTGAGACTGAGGTGGGCCTCCTGCTGCCGAGTCCCTCCGCCCCAGTGCTCCAGGGGTGGGGGTAAGGGGGACCAGGCCATAGACGAGGACACCACAGCACTAGCCTGGAGCCAGGAGGCCCAGCCCCTTCCTGGGGTGTGGCAGAGCTACACCAGCAGCCATCCACATGGCAGCCCGATGCCACGTGGCTGTGCGTGTCTCACATGGAAGCTAACAGAAGACTTGGGCTAGGGCTCGCTGGCACCTGCCACAGTGGGTGAGCAAATGGCATTGTATCCCCACAGGAGGCTCAAGGGTGACACAGGCAGCGTAGACGTGGGGCAGGCGTACACGGAGACGTGGACACACAGCACACACCTGTGCAGCAGCACGCCCGGGCAGCCAGCTGCAGGAAGGGAAGCGGGCCCTGGTGAGACGTGTGCTGTGGGCGGGGCCTTGGGAGCCCAGTGAGCTCGGCCGGGGACACGTGCTGCCAGGCCCCGTGGAGCCGCCTGTCAGCAGTGGGACTCACCGTTTTCCCGGTGCTGGAAGGAAGGCGAGAACTCTTTGGCAGTGATCCGGGCAATCCGAGCTTCCTCCTGGGCTTTCTGAGCCGCTGTGAGGGCTGCCTCAGCCTTGGCCCGTGAGTGGGAGGTCCTGAGGAGACAGGGAAGCTATGATGGTGAGCAGAAGTGAGGGCAGCCCCAGGGTCCAGGCCAGTGTCAGCCTCTCAGCAGCAGGCAGAGACAAAGGCTGGACAACCTTGTCAGCCCTCAGCCCTCAGGACCTTGTCCTCCATCCATTCATCCAACCGCTCAACAAACATGGGTACCAACAACCAGCCTGGGTGTAGGACATACTGGAAATGTGCTTGTTCTTGCTAGACTCAAATGTCCTTTGCACGTGCAGGAAGGCCCCAAGTCAGGTGAGGCCACGCCCATAGCAGACCACCACCTGCAGCCTCCAGCAAGTCCCACTGCAGGAGGACAGCCTCCTGTCACCCAGCGTCAGCCAAGCTCCAGGAGTGGGCAAGGGCGATGGCCAGGGCCACCCCCGCCGAGTCCCGAGGGCCATCCTGCCTCCTGAGACAAGGGCTAGACGGGTGCACAGGCCTGGAATCATTTCCCCATCACCGGTCCCCAGGACCCCAAGACAGAGGGACACTGCCCCAGGTCTCCTGGGAGCCTCGGCAAGGCCCGGGCGTGGCTCACAGCCCCAGGGCTTCCTCATTCTGCTGGAGGCCAAGGCCAAGACCTGGATGCCAGGTCTGTGTCTAAGGAGGTCCCGCGTTCTGCCCACAGCCCGCCGCCTCTGCATGTTCTCTACTTGAGGAGAAGAAAGGCTGCTCTCCAGGGCTTCTTTCTAAGGGTGCTGACCCCACCCTGGACCCTTCGTCAGCCCCCAGAGTTCCTGCTGCTATACAGCCTGGTGACACACGCCCAGCCTGTCCCCTCTTCTGCGGTGCTCAGTAGTTGGGGAGCTGGGCTGATCTGAGCCCTCCATTCTTTCCTCAAAGTCCCACCCTGCTAACAGGAATGATTTCACAGGAGCAGATCAATAGTGGCACATGCACGGACACAGAAATGGGAGTCCCAGCCACTGAGGACACCTGGCTCCCACGGCCTCAGGGGGCACCTCCGCCCTGAGCTCCCTCGGCACTGAAGAGCGAAGACAGTGCTTGTGCCAACTACCAGGGAAAACTGGCCATCTCTAGCACCCCCATGACCCGTGTCCTGGGAGCCTGGGATGGTACCACGCCTGCTGGGAGGCCACGTGGGACTGCGGGCAGGAGTGATGGGGCCTGGCGGAGTCGCCACCAGGACCTCGAGGCCCCCGCCTGGGCAGCAGCGGGCAGCGCCCAGTGCCCTTGGGGATCAGGGGTGGGGCCTTTGGAGGGGTCGCAGCCTGGAGACACAAGGCCTGTGTAGTGACCTCGCAGGCAGAGCATGCCTGGCTCCTGTCTGATCGCAGGCAGCCTGCTCTTCAGAGAGACAAGGGCTAAGCTGGAGCATGGGGCTGGGAGAGAGGCGCCCCAGTCGCATCTGCAGCCAGCGAGGTGGCCCTGAGCTCACCTCAGTACAGGTACTCTGCTTCCTGGACGGCTGAAGAGCCTGTTCTTTGTTCTGGTAGTAACTCGTGTTCCGAATCAGGGTCTTAATATGCAGCCCAGCGGGCATGGAGCTCACAGCCCCAGACTCAGCCTCCTGAGGGCTGGGTGCTGCGCACCGCAACTGGCTCTGTAATACTGGGGTGCTTGGGACTGTGCCGCCATTGCTGTCACCCTCTGCAGCCCAAAGGGACCCGGAGCCTGCGTGGCCCACCCCAACCCCACCCTAGCTGCTGGTGGTTCACTTGGTTCCAGTCAGTCTGTCTGCTCTGGACATCGCATCTTTTCTCCTTTGCTACGAAGGTCAAACGCCCATCACATGAAATGAACCATTCTAAGGCCTGTGCCCAGTGCCTTGAGGTCCCTCAGCCACCAGCTGCCTTTCTGGGGACCAGTCAGTGAATGAACCCTGAAGTTGTGCAGACATGGTGCCCTGAAAGCTGGTCCAGGGGATGCGAAGACCTCTGCTCTTGCCCTCGAAGCTCTGGGGTCCTGGGACAGGCCTCATACGAGGCCCACATACCAGGGATGCAGGGCTGGGAGCAAGGGGCCTGCGTTAGGTCAGTGCCAGGGAGGGGCCTGCTCAGTGAATCACCTGGCACCAGGGCTCAGCCTGGGCCCTGTCCCACTGCCAAGGAGCAGAGGCGGCCAGCAAGTGACCCAGGGATGAGGTAATTCATGGCCATGATGGGAGCAGAGACCAGAAAGATCCATGCCTGGGACACATGCCAGAGAACAGTCACTCAGGCACAGGGCTCCCTGGAGGCCAAGGCAAGTGGAGAAATGCCACCAGTCACCATGGTAAGCTGGAGCTGCAGAGGCGAGTGGCGGCAGCCAGGCCTGAACCTAGAGGAGGTTCGTGGTGGCCTCAGAGGTCACTGGGTGACATGCATAGAGCAGGCCCAGTGCAGCTCTGTGGGGCGAGGCAGCACGTGGGATTCAAGCTCGCCCTGTGACTGCACAGCAGAGCTTTGTCTGCTGCTGCCAGAGGTGGCTGTCTCTGATGGGACGAACGCAGATGAACACGGAGCCTTCAGGGCTCGGCACAGGAGCAGGCACCCCAGAGAGGAGAGGCACAGGCCAGCCTCACGGGGACTCCGCGCAGAGCCAGCTGGCGCAGGAGGACGGGGGCGGGCTGTGGAGCAGACAGCCTCCGCGAGCTGCAGCCCTGTCCACAGCGGGTGAACCACGCAGGGCAAGGCAGCTGCTTGCAGGAGGAAGTTGTGGGACTGAAAAGCAGGTGCGATGTTTTCTGAGGTTCAACTTTGGAGGTTCCCCCTTCACAGGACAACACGAGGACTTCATTCTTCTGAGTGGCCACCTCCGCCCCAAAGGCCAGGGTGCAGCCTTGAAACACAGGAGAGGCACCCATCCCCACGTCCCTCTGTCTGCCCTGCTCTTCCTGGACATGAGGCTCAGCTACAACAGCTCATCCTGGGAAGGATGTGGCCCATTTGCCATTGGGGTGGACACGTCAGCCTGCCTCTCACAAGTCCCTTTCTATGCTGAATGGTGAGGAATAAAACCCCACCTTCCTCGCCCACTGATGTTGCCTGGCAGCTCCTGCACCCCCTGGCTGCCCAGGGAGGGGGACCCCGCTACAGCTGCCCGGCAGCAGCACCTGTGCCAGTCCTCCACCAAGGTCCTCGGGGTAGCGCTGAGGTCTCCACCTTCCAACTGGGGATGTGGCCCTGTGCAAAGACCTTGGGGACAACCCCAGTGCTGCCAGGCCACTGCACCTGACGAACATCTGACACCTGGTCTGGTGATCCTTGGCCGTCCCTGGATGTGGCCAGGACCGCGGGCTCCTTTCACAGCCATCGTCACTACAGTGCATCGTGATTTTTCATAGGCACCTCGCCTAGAAAGGGTGGAACTTTGCCCCTCCCAGACCCCCTACAAGACAGGAGGGGCAGGCAGGAGACACTGCAGAGGGACCACCGTGAATTTAACACTGCATGTATGTACGTGTGTACATTCACATGTGTGTGAGAACAGGCTTCCCTGAGCCTGGAATGAAGTGGACTGAAGGGCTCAGTGCACTTGACAGCAGAGTGCCCGGAGAGGCAGAGGGACAGACTTCAGGGCTCGGTCCCGAGCCCCGCTCTCCCAACAGTGGCTCCTGCCCTGCACAGGGTCCTGACCCCTGGCAGCCCATGCCTCAGTGATACTCTCGGGTTGTTCTGCACAGTGATTTCACCTCCTCTTCCTGTCCCCAGCACCCTGACACCTGTGGTTGTCCCTAGTAGCTGATCTCCACGGGCCAGGACAGGAAGGAGAACTGAGGCCCCCATCAGGGTGTGATGGTACATGTCTGTCATCCAGCATCCAGAAGGCTGAGGCAGGGGCATTGAAGGTTTGAGCCCAGCCTGGGCAACAAAGCAAGACCCTATCTCAAAATATTAAAAAGGGAGGGGGCCTGGGGTTCAATTCCCAGTACTGCAGAAAACCAAACCAAACCAAGACACGCACCAACCATTCCCAGGAGGCGGAGCAGCCGGTGGGCGCTTTTAATTTATGTGATCGAAACCCCAGATCTGGAGCTCGAACTCCCCGAGAGGTAGGCCCTGCAATCCTGCAGCAGCTGTCCCAGGGGGTCCCCAGGTCCCTCCCACAGGGACTCATGCCTGGCACTGGGTGCGCCGCACAGACTCCATCTGTTATGCCAACAACAAGAAAGAAAACCAATCAGGGCCACAGTGTGAAGGAAACAAGCTGTCCTGCTGGGAAGCGCTGCACACAGTCACCAACACCAGGCAGGACAGACAAAGGTGAAGACGCTGCCAGAGGCAAGGGCTGTCCTCGGGGCCCTCGGGGGCTATGGGCGTGGCTCTGAACCGGGCACACTGAGCACTGGCTATGTGGCTCTCGGGCTGGGCGCCTCCTGCGGGCTGCGTTTCTCGAGCGTCCCCGAGGGACACTGAGTCCAGAGACTGCAAGATGGAAGAGATCACGCCTGAGTCACCAGGCGCAGCCAGCTTGCCCACACCTGGCTGCCAGCCAGGGAGATCCGTCCTGGGCATCCAAACCTAGAGTCCCCAAGAGCCTCCTGGGCTCAGGCCAGGCTGCTGATCCTGAGCTGCTGCTGGAGGTGGGATCTGGCAGGAAGCGGGATGGGGCGTGGCCGGGTGCCTGCCTCCCTCAGGCTGCCTCCCTGCCCTTGTCTTGTCCACCAGGCTGCCCTGCCATGGTGCTGGTTGACCAGGGATTGAAACCACCACAAATCTGGAGCCAAAATCAACTTCGCGTTCCTAAAGTTACAGTATTGGGGAACTTAATGACAGCCTGTCTCAAAATAAAGCATTAAAAAGGAAGGGAGATGAGGAAAAGTCACTAGGGTGTCATTCTGATGTCCAGCCACAGGCCAGTGGGAAGACACGGGTGTCGCCTGAGCCTCGGCACCCGATCAGTGTCCTGGCTCTGCCTCAGTCCCCTCCCTGAGCCTGAGCCCTGTGTCATGGGCAGCTATGGGACTGTGGCAGGGGGGTGGGGAGCAGTGAATCACCCTTGTCTCTGCTGGCAGTCCCGGGCTGTCCTGACGCAGGCTGGC